CTATTCAGCTGTCTCACAAACTCACGCGTATTGAAACTTATCTTTGAAGCCTCTCTATTGTCAAAGCTCGCCGCACTACATCTAACGTGCTATGGGGATCGCTATTTTTGGTCTATATGCACAATTACCTGGAGCAATACAGCGCAGATGTCGCGAAAGGAGGCGCGCTCACCGCACAGGATATGTAGGTTACCTTTTCACGCCAAGCATCGAATATCTAAAGTCGCGCCCAATTTCTACACGTGTTGATTAGAGCTGTCCTCGAGAGCATACCTCTTTTATTCAAAGCGAAAGCACGCTGGGTTCCGTCTTGATTTCCGCCGCTAATGACCACCTACACTTGATCCTGAGTTTCGAAGTTGTACATAGAGAATTCGGTAATCTAACCCTCTGGCGGCTAACTGGACGAACCTCGGGCTCGTAACACGTTATATGTGCAGTCTTGCTGGCGAGCCTCATGCGTAATATCCCATGAAGAAAGCTGACGCTCGACATGAAACACTGTGCTCCCGGTTAGGCAATTGGTAGCGCACGGTACCCTCGCAGGAGGCCCGCCGCGTTCAACGAAGCACAGAGTCGGCGTACACTTGCCGCGCGCGTAGGTGTCGCGTCCTGGGACCGTGCAGTGAACATCTGTTTTAACGTGACGCGGTAACCCCTACATTACCGCGCAGACTCGTCCGCTCGACTTTGCCTTCTTGCCGCGCGAAGCCTCCTGGGTACCCGGTTTAGCGCCACACTCGCCGGGGAGGGGGGGCTAGAGGTGCGTCTATTCCCGCCTAGGGCGGAAAAGCTGCATGAATTTGTTCACACAACCCAGCATTTTTGAAACTTTCGCAAGCGTGAACTGCGCGGCCAAAACAGCAGCTACAAACACAAAGACAAAAAGACAGCAAAACATCGACTCACAACAACTCCCTGCTCAAGCGCGCTCACCGTACGAGTTTCACAACAACCCGCGCGAACGTTTCGCGAGACCAACCTCATACTTTACACATACCCGCATAACTTTCGAACATTCCCTCCGCCTGAGCCGACGGATCTGTAGCGTCGGAAAGCGTCCGCCACTCCATAACGTCCCCCCCAAAGCAGTCGAAATGACCCTCCGTGAGCCCGCTTACCACCACACCGTCGGACTCCCTACCTCATCACCACTAGCACGCACGATCCAACTGTGACTACAAACAACATACCTATACATCGCACCGTAACGCAAGAAACAAAACGTAAAAGAAATCGCGAAAAACACGCGAACTTCGCGTTATCTTTTTCTCGTTTTTTCACTATAACTACGTTATCAAATATGAGATTTCTCACCAAAATCAAGACACAAAAGACACCTTCCAACTCAGCTCGCTCGACGGGTCATAATAAGAATCAATGCTTTTGCAGCGGGAAAACACTTGTGCGAAAACCCACTCTTCAAATTGCGACTTACCCGACCAACCCAGAGACAGAAAGACACAGCAACAAGCACACACAAACAAACGAAACTTATGGCAATCGACAAAAAAACAATTGTTTGAAACATGGCCAGGGCAGCAATCATAATCGCCGCTTACATGCATCATGTCCTTTCTATCATAAGAAGTGAACAGGTCTCAGTATTGCTACACAGAAACGCTGACACACACCCACACAAAAACCAAGAAAATAAAAAATCAACACCTGACAATCCAATCGTAAGTGCGACAGGGATATCCAGATTGACTAATTATTCCAGAACTTCATCGAGTCTACACTAATCCATAAGCACCCGCCGCGTTAAAGCACCCTCAACAGTACCATAGGACTGCAGATCACGACATCTCCATCCCTCGCTGGTCTCAAATAAAATCATAGCATCATTATCGCAAGCCCAGGACACAGTCTAGCCTATTGGTGACAATTATCCAATGATCTTTGAACGAACGTCTTTATACACGAAACACTGACGAAGCTAGCCGCGCTGAAATCTTCTTACACTGCCAATGCACGCTTCAAGAACAATTACCCTATGTAGCAATAAGAATACAGGTCCACACACTTCTTGACAACGCATGAACCGTTCCCATCCATCGCTGCCGGCGCTGAACACAATAGCCCCTCCATACCCCTCACATGCCAACCTGCTCCGAAAACACACTACCAGACCTAATTTTTCCCAATCGCACACTATTCAAGATCTAAAACTCCAAGCCAAGCCCAAACAACCAGCACAAACTGACAAATAGTTGACCCCCGTTAGCATCTCCCCGCTGAAAATTGCTACATCGAAATTGATACGCATTCATCCTCCCAGTCTGACAATATTCAGTCTTTCACCACGGCTTCTTCAGCCCCCATCCTCCCCCATACTATCTCGACCCGACTTTGACGTCATCCACTACTCCACATCACACACACCAATGCCACACAAAATCTCCAAAGTTATACACCCCATTATTCTTCGTACGACAACTATGTGCCCCTATTGGGGTAATTCGAATGCCACCTGACTACATATCCGACATTCATCCTCGCTCACGTGTAGCCACGCCCCAACACCATCCACCCACCCTCGCCCCCCTTCCATTGTTCCGACTGCACTCTCCATGTTTAGAAGATAGACGCTATATGTAAGAAACAGCCCTGGGAAACCACACGGCCCGCAACACGAATACCTCTATCATCGTTCCGATAGACTAGACGGCTTGACAACCATATGCACCGCACGTGCCGCACATATCACAGCCCCTCACCACAGACATACAACGTCCTACTCTAAAATGGAACTCCATAGTCGCCAAAAACACGGGGTCCGACGATAGATCCATCCTGCACGTCTTGACGCCACACCTCGGCATTCAGCTACCCACAGAGACTGAATATAGTAATATAACCAATAAAAGAAGTAGACCGCAAGCTAAGACAAGTAAAAGAGAATCACTCGTCGCTGAACCTTCAACAGCTATCTCAAATAAAACAAATCCAGCCTACACATAAAACATCGAACATGCCGTCGCAAACCAAAAACGGAGACACAAACCCAACACAACCCTGTGTGAGCTTCATCGCGGCCACACACGCGAGAACAGAATGTCCATCATTCGTAATCAGCGGAATCGAACTACCCACATAGGCGAAAAGTTTCGACAAAAAAAAACAACTTCTGAGATTGTGGAAACCACCCCCGCACAAGTAGTAGTGAACACTCGATGCCCACATCCGGCCAATAGCAACCCGGCCAATGCTGAAAACGGAAATATGGAACTGAAAGCAACACAGTTATCAAACTGCGACACAAAAAAGGCAGTAATGCCATATTGCATCTCGAATAACGCAATTTCTTCACAGCGAACACAGGCAAATCATAGAAAGAGAACATAAATTCAGTTTCTGCAGCAGCTTCATCTGAATAATCAAAAAACAACTTAGAAATCATTTCGCAAAAAGCGCAAATAAAGACCAGAGAGGCACTGTTCACCGAAGAGCCGGCACACTGAAAAAGGGACGAGTAACATCTGCGAAAAATAGATAAGTAAGAGATAATAATATCCTAATGCTAAGGGAGAAGACTTTACTGTCATCAAGCTGTGATGAAATTTTTTCCCTCGCGTAGCTCCTGCTAAAAAATCGGAAAAAAACCAATCGTCTCAAACATGAGAAAAATTATAACAAATTATTCTAAACTGTCCTGCTGAAAAATGCTATGATTTCCATTTGGAATACGATGGAGAGGAGATGCGAGCCGCGAGTCATGTACCATGTTGAGTCATTTTAACGCGTCGCTATGGAATAAGCGACCATTGAAAGTTGGAAAAAAAATCAATCGATCCATCCAGATACCATGTGACCAGTGAATCACGCGTGCGCGTTCTGGCAGCAACTATGCAGACCTCATCCTTATGAACAAAATGCATGATGCATCCAAGCGCGATTATATGCGCCCCCACATTCAAACAATTTTTTTTCTAGCTTTCATAAGTGTCGGTGCATGCGCGCACATGTTGAGAGTACGGCTTTCCAAAGGTTCAATAGCATATTCTTATAGAACTCCACGAGCTGAGTTTGCAATGCTTTTTTCTGATTGTTCGAAAATCTCAATTTTGAACCTGAGTTATAACGTAGAATAAACGATTCCAAAAAAAAGAGCTGCGAATTCGCGTTTATTCGCGTGTTTTTTTTTCGATTTTTTTTACGGCGAGTGCCGTAGTTTTCACTGGTAAGACTCGCACAAGACGAGACGAGGTCGGCTTGTGTGAGAACTTCATCATTCACTCGATCTTTGGGGGGCCGACATAGTGATGGTGAGGTGTGATGAGTGGCCGACGCCTTTGCGATGCCTACAGTCCGCTCAGACACAAGCGCGAGCACAGGTTCAACTTAGTTAGTGGGCAGGAGAATGGATAGGTCGGCCATAGACAACACGCATAAGAAATAACAGAGCGCGAAAGGCATGTCGCCTGCTAGAGTGAGAGGAGATACTGTCGAATAGTTGCCAATACGGATCACTTATGGGTTCGGTCACCTAAATCCGGAGCACGTCGGTACAGGAGCGTATTTCCATCCAATCTTACTGAACCCGCCTGTCCGGGGGCGCACCGGTCAGTATCGATTAAGATTAGGGAGAGAACGGAAGCATGTAATCAGACAACATTTGATGTGCCCATCCGTGGGATATTGTGCTATACGCAACGTCTTACTAGTACGTATTTTAAGAGACTAAGAAAAAAGTTGTGATTTTCTTTAAATATATAGCATCCGACTCTCCCCGATACACAAAATTTGATGGTTACTGATTTGTTATGATTTATGCAGTTGTGTGCTTCAATTCCAATTGTTTTGAAATTATTATTAAAAGAGAATCAACCTTCGAAAGTCAACTTTTAATTCCTGGAAAAGCTGTCAAAGTGAAAAAGGTGACGGAATGATTGAAATATCGATAGAAGCTTTGCCCAATTCAAAGCTCGCTGCTGCATCGCTATGCTTTTACCACGGATAAGCAGTGACGAAATTAACTGAGAAATGTAGTGAGTTCCTTATTGTACCCAGCAAATGGTTTCGTCTGAACGAATTCCACACCGACCGACCTTGAGAGGTTCGTTCCCAGATAGCGTCCAACCAGTGTCGGAAGAATGCAGAATTGGTTGAGCCACAGGTAACAACACAGCAGTATCTAAACAAGATAGATGGAAAGCAACTCTGCTTGTGTTCTTATAAGGTTGTAGGAGAATTTTCGCAAAATTCTGGAATTTTTCCAATATTTTCCAGAAGCTTCCACAAACGCTAATGCATGGGGTATGTGAAGGAGCCCACAAGATCAGCGGACAGTTCATTCTAACTTCTTTCCCAATCTCTAGCTCTAACTTTTGATAAAAAGACTATTTCTCAATATGAACCTTAGCTGTTCCTTCACGAATATCGCCTGGGCTGGAACGTTAACGAGGTTTCTTGTGGGATATGGAGAAATTCAAAAGAGATTTGGATTCCGCTGATTATATAGCTGATCGCAATTTCGAAGGTAACCCCTGGGGTCGGGCTCACTAGTAGGAGCCACGCCCCCCCCCCCCGTCGAACCTTTTGAGTCCATCTATAGTTGTCGAGCTAGTTGTCGCAGTTAGAGCCCTTCGTTCCCTTCTTGCAACCAAAGCCAGCCTCCCCGCAGACCGCGAATAATGTGGATATCAGCGTGTTTCCTCGCAAGTTTCGTCTTCGTTGGTCTCTCCGTCGTACCAACTTCGACCCTGCTGGGAGGGTCGACCTTCACCCTTCATTTTAGTATTTCCCATGGTTTCTCTAGCTCTTTTCCCCACTTTCAATTCACGCACACCTCAACCATCACTATGGAGCGTTTTTATACACCAGTTTCAGCCCGGGGCTTGCCGTTAAAAATTCTTAGAGCGCAAACGATGCTCACAAATTAAAGATTATGCAGAGCACATTTTAAAACAAACATACCTCTTTTGCGAATCGCGGAATCATCTGATAATCGCTTAACGATATCGGCAACAGAGATGTCGTTTGGCTGCGCCTTAAGTTACAAAATTAAAGCGTACATTGAGAACAAAATGCGTGTGGCCCAATGTGTAAAGCGAACATGATGCAGCACGCAGTCGTTGCCCTCCATGTGACCGCGCAATGCACAGTGACCGCGACACTGTTAATCGCTCTTTTCATTACCCTGAACGACCCTCGGGCCCAGGCGTTTTGCTCACAACGAACTGTTTTTCAGCACTAATCTTGTTCAGGCACACTGCCGAATTCGCAAGTAACTCCCCTTCCCATTCTCACTGAATTAAGAACGGCCCTGTGGAATTGTGGCGCTCTTCTTACTTCTGTAATGACAAGTTTGACAAATAATCTAGTCCTAACTCGAAGGAAAATATTTCGCAGCGGTTCAACATCGCTGTAGGCGCTGTTCAAGACAAATCCTTACTGCATCCCAAAAAGTATAAAGAGAACGTTCCGTATGCGAAAAACAGCTTAACGAGGACCTTCGAAGACTTGTCGACTCGGCTCGTCCTCTTATATCCTCAACAAATCAATTTGAAAGAAATTCCGGGTCTTGCCTCAACACGGAAAGTCAACAGGTCAGTATGACCACTTGCGTGAGGTGTGCACTCATTCGCTGGAACCACGATTTAAGACGCTCTCCCATCTTCTAGCAATTTTCTAAGCGGAACCATGATAATTGACTTCTGCTGTTGGTAATTTCAAATTTTTAGCAGTACGGTTAGTAAGGTTTTTAACGTCGCCAGTTCAACAATGCTTATATTGAGTTGTGGCACGCCCTCCTCGTCCCCTTTTAATCTCTAGTCATATAGAGAGATAGAGCGTTAGCATTGAAGAGAGCAGCACTGATAAAGTCCACAGCATCAACGCAAAAATCAACAGGCAAATATTTAAATGCGCGCGGGTTAACTGGGCCGTGGAGCAGGGAAGTAATTCAGCTCGTCTAGTCCCACCCCTTCCTTTTTGAGAGGAATTTTCGTTTTGGGCTACATCGATGGAGATCGTTGCTTCTTTTCTCAATTTTAGTCATTTCGGCATCCACAACTTCATTTTCAACTGCAGTTACCCACAAATTCGATCTGAGGTGCTGCTTTGAATGATCCCACCAAAAATTTTTATCCTATGTCCGCCAGCAAGTGTGTAGGTTCTAGCCTCGTTGAATTCGTTGTCAGGGATAATTGGGCCTAGAATTTTTCAAACAGTGAAGATAGTAAGCAAGAGCTTGCTTTTGTTTATAGTTTCTGCCAGTTGTTGTCTCCGTGTGTCTACAGGTTACGTACTCGAATCCGTGTCGTTACGCAAATTTGAGGTTATCGCGCCGACGACTAGATCGCTCTTACGTTGGTGCCATGTATCACCTTTGCCACCTAGACACTGTGCATGCTATGAATCAAGCAGTCTTCAGTGGGTCAAAATCACAGACATGGGTCAAAATCACAGACAAAGCATCATTCAAACCTTATGATCGATTCTCTTTCCGGCTGCTCGTGGTCGACTTGAACTTGGGACTTCCCCATTCAGTTGTTGAAACCCTAAAACGCGGGTTGAGTCCTCCCTGGTCATTTTACTTAAAATATACAAACATACTGTTTGCATTCGAAGATGGAGGACCCATCGAAGACATTGATGAAGGGCGTGGAATTGTAGAAGAGCTTGTGTTGGATGAACCATATCTCAGCAGTTCTAGACGAAATAAACATGCGAGAAGCTCTATATCGACGTCATAATTAATTCATGACAAGGTAAGAAGGGATTAGGAAGTGTGTGTGCGCGCGCGAAAAAACTAGTGGAAATCAGCTGTTTGAGCAGTTACATACAGGGCGTTTAAGAAGTATAGGGGCACCCCTAAAAACAGCTGCTTATAGTTAGAACAGAGGTTTCATTGCTTGCAACCTACTTAATTGAATCCAGCATGCTATGGCACTGGAGTCCATTATGTCAGAAAGCAATATGAGCTATAGGCATTTTTATGAGGAAATTTAAGAATGTCCCCTGTTTCGAAAGATAGGCAAGAGGCACCTTAGGCGAGAGGATTGGAGAATAAAAGTTCTTCCTTTACATTTTGCTTACCCATGTTTAGTGGAGCACACCACCTCTTCAAGGTGACCAGACGATTTAAGCCTTCTACCTCAAAACGTCCGTGCGAAGGTCATGCTTCGTAGCTGCTCAACATGGCCAATATCCTGACTGATCACCAAATCTTATGGAAAATCCAACTTTCTATGCCATAGATAAGAAATTTTCATAACAGAACCCTTTCGCCCAGCGTGCCTTTATACTCCTCAAACGAAGCGAGCATTTGTGAATTTTCCTATGGAATTGCTTGTAGCTCATGATGCTTTCTGTAATGGAGTGGACTAGAGTTTTAGACCATGCTGAATTCAATTGAGCATGCTGCAAGCCGTGAAACCATCCAAACTAGAGTCAGCTGTGTTCAGGTGCCCCTATACTTTTCAAAAGCCTTATACAATCTCATCTCGCTGGACAAATCTCAAGGTTTTTGGGGGACGATATGAGGGATGTCCCGTAGCACATCTTCAATGACACTACTGACACCATGGACTATCGAAAAAATAGAGGGTGAGGAATGAGGTCGTGTTGTTTGGCATTGGTGCGTCGCTTTTTTTTGTCGTCGGCATGTTCGTTGTTACTAGAGCTGAAGAAGTTTGAGGAAAACAATCTGCACGGGTGAAAGGGTGCCTCGGGGAGTGTGGTGGTAGGGAAGTGGGACATGATCAAAATTGTGTGTGGCAGTAGGAGTTGGACAAAGTCGGCTGAGCTTGAGCTAAAACAGTTATCAGGGCCTAAGCCACCATGTTGATTCTAAAGGGGTCCAGGCAGACAAAAAGGAGCACTAGACGGTCAGGGAAGCTTACAGTAGTGTGCAGTAATTAACCTAAAGCGTATACGGTGGTGGGCGAACTTAGGCAATTGGGCAGTGGGCTGAAATCGTCATTTAAGGGCTACGCATCCATTTTGATTCTAAAGAGGCTTAGGCGGGCCAATAGGGAGTATACGGCCAAAGAAGTACACAATCAGGTCATCAATCGATATCTACCAAAAATATCGATTCTACCGATAGATAAAAGGGATTCGCGTATCACAGTATTGATTAGGTCTAGTCGCAGAAGTTGACATTCCTGACTTAATAAGCTATCCAACAATATCGACGGAGAATATCGGTTTTCCCCCAGCAAGCTCCAAAGAGCTAAAGAATTGAACCAGTGAGCTGGATGAGGACTAGCTATACCGTTACGTCCAATTTCAATTCTGTACACCGAAAAGCTATTTGAAAACACATTAAACAATGAGCAAAAGAAAAGAAAAATATTAACCAATTTCTCCAATACGATGGTCTTCAAATTTGCTCGGAGAAAAGTTTTCGTCAAAAGCAGCAGTGTCAAAGTCTTCACTCCAATCAATTCTCAACGGATCCTCGGGTGCTTTTGCAGCTGAAGAACGACCTAAACTTGGATTACTGTAGAAACCTGGTAAAAGAGCTGGGATAAAAAACGCAGTTGATGACAAGCAGTCGATCTTCAATTAACTTCTGAAATACGATCTCTATCAAAATGTAGTATTATTATTGCTATGAAAAAAACTAGCAAATTCTTCGAAATCGGCAAAATCTGTCAAAAAAATATCCTTAACAAAAACGATGATTTGAACAGGATTGAGTTACCATTATTTTCCGACAATTTCTTATAGAATTCTACGCTTGGGTCAACCATGGAGTTCGAGCGATTTCAAAATTTCATGACACCGACAAATCTCTCCCCTTCTCAAGAAAACCTGACAGCCCACCCTCCCCCTCCCTTCAATATTTCCTTTACCACACGGAACCGCGATCATCCAGTGCCCTCACAGGAGGAGGAGGGCTTTCAGGCAGGGTCAAGCAAGGCGTCGAGGAAAATTCGGAAATACGACCCCCTCCCTCTGCCGAAGGCTAAAGTTCATGAAACAAACCTGGTCTTTAAAAGCCGAACTATGAAAAGTTGTTTAATTCTCAACAAAACTGCTCAAAAAAGCCCTGCTACTCCCATCGTCACAAAAAACTCGCTTTAAAAGATAAAAGTGAAAAAGTCAAAGAATGATCCTTAATGACGAGTCCTCGTCAAACGAGCAAACGAGAACGGAGCAAAAAAACGTCAAACTGGTCACTAGCAATGGCCGTCTATGACAACACCTCTTCGTTGTTTATGTTCTCCACAAGCACTGAACCACATTCGTAGTACTACACAGATTATGGTTCTCAATCCTACACGTCCCCTTTTCGCTCAAAGGAAGCCTTGTAAAAGCCTTCGCAGCTGCTGTGGTGACTGGACTTCGCGTGACCGTGGAGCAGCTTATTTACTATTGAAATTGAACAAATAATTTCAAATGATTATAACTTCTTCAGGTTAACGAATTTTCAATCTGAAAGCCTGATTTGGAGTTTGTGAAGAGCTTTTTCTAATCCATACTGAAATTACAGGAAGTTATAACGAAATAACAAATTTAAGATCAAATAACGAGAAAATTCCGAGACGAGCCACGAGTTTACTTGCCGAGCAATAACTGCTCCATTCATTCGTCAAATTCAAAAAAGTTGATACGTCATACAAAACTAGAATTTTTTGCTATCGTACCCGTCCTAAAGAGCTTCGTAGTTCAGTACTCAAAAAATGCCACTGAGGATTTTGCCAAAAATTAACGAGGAAAGTTCATGATGAGTGTGCGAGTTTTTACGCTTTCCAAAGCCATTACTCCGTTCAAACTCATGCGATCTGGAAAGTTAATGCGTCATTCATAAAGTAGAAGATTTGCTCTTTCTATAGGCAACTAAAACTGCTAAATACGTTCACTATGTAAAAAATATGGCACGTTGAAGATTTTTGCCGAGTACCGCCGAAAGGTACTTTTCGCTACATTAGCACTATCCAACGACTATAGCTCCTTGCAGGAGAGATTAAATACTGAAGTAGGAGCAATTCGAAATCCTCGTGCTTTTCTCTCGGCAAAAAGTGTAAAATTGTTCAGCGCGCGTCTCAACGTTAAAGGCATTACATGCTTCTGGAATTTGACGCTGAAGCTGCGTCTTCTTGTTGAATAGGTGGACTCCTCTCTGTAATTTGACATAAACTCGTTCAGAACCCTCTTGATTCTTCCTGTATTAAGATTCGTTACCACGATAGCCGTAGCTCAAGCGCGCGCAACCAACTGGGCCCACGGGATGCGCCGTGTGCTTCACATCTCGTTGGATTTGAGGACCTACTTGAAAGATAAAATATCCCTAGAAAACGTGCAGATATCGGATCCTTTGACTTGTGTGGTGATGAAACACTAAAGTCACTAAGTCTGAGCGGACACCTCTAAATCACGAAGATTTTGTGTGGACGGAATCAATTGTTATTGGAAATACTCTGGCCTGGTATCGATTCGATCCTTAATGTTTGTCCTCCGGCGATGATCCTACTGTATCAATCGGGCCCGATCTCTCCGCAGCGAGCCAATACGACCCCCCCCCTCTCTGTGACATGTCGAGGATTCTTCAACGCACGCTTGACCCTGCTTTCACAAGTTGCGCTTTTTAAGAACGGCCTCTAGCAGATGTGTGTAATTTTTGCTCAACGTGAAGTGCCAAAAAATGAAAAGCAGCTCATTAGATAGTAAGTTAGAGATGGGCTGTAATGCACGTAAAAGGAAGGGAAATCGAGAAAATGGCTTAGAACCCGAGAAATAGAACCGTTTCCTTGCCTGTCTATTGATGCGACTGTCAGGTGCTGCCTCTTCGACGCTAACGCTTCTCTGCCAGCTGACAGACTCAGACACGGGACCACGCGAGAGGGGGCATACCGCGCCAATTGCGCCGCGGGAAAGGCCATGCTAGACTGTCGGCGCAGATGCCTAGCAAGCTAGCATGGCTCTCCCTGTGGCGCTATCGGCGCGGCACGCCCACCGACTGGTTAACCGCTCGCCACAGGTCTCGAGTCATTTAGGAGAAAGTGTTAGCGGTGAAAAAGGGAGTGCCGATGAGGATCGCATCAACGCGGAAAGCAACGGAAAATAAAGGGTCCCATTTCTCGGGACCGTTTCTCAAGGTTTTTTCTCCATCTCGGCACTACTGACCACATCTACCTCAAATCTAACGGGCTGCTTCTAATCGTAAACTCCGCCTTCAAGCATCGACCTCTGCTTTACTATACGTAGCGTCCACGTAGAAAAAAATTGTGCCTCCACACTGAAAAAATCCGAGTTATGCTGGTTTGATCCTATTTAGTGATGCCTGCACTCAGTTCTACATTTCATCAATAATGCTGCCTTACATGAGCACAATGGCAGCTTTTTGATGCATCAGCCGTAAATCAGTGAACCCATCAAACCTTTGTTTACAAATTGTTGAACCGACGAGGTTACAGACCGAGATAGCCCTTCGTGCTCCACAAGTGCGAGATATTCGTTTTGTACAAAAACACAAAAAAATGCGCAATGCTAGGCTATTTTGCAGGCTAGGAGGATTAAAACTCCCAGAAGCATCACAGCTCACAGAAGGCTTCCTGTGACACGATCCGTTCATATCTATTTACACCATTGACCCTTCATCTAAGAGGAGTGTC